GTCTGTAAATAATTGGTCAAACTCACATGTTGCTGAGTCACTTTAAAAAGCTGACTCAGACTATAGGTTTGTAGCAGAGATGAATCTAAATAAAGATGGACTTCTGCAACGGCCAGGATGAAGCCAAATTCATCAGTGAAATATAACTGATATTCCTATATGTATAGTGAGCATAAGGGTCACATCTGGATCACCAAGAGTTTGTAGTGAGTTCGACACGGCATACTCCGCTACTCACTGCCTGGTTTTCACAAAATGAAGCCGGAGATACAGGTCACAGTCACAGGGGTGTAGGCTAAATTGCTCTTTCCCACGACTGAATATCAGTTTGCTCGTTCTTGCTGCAGCTGTCTCCGTCCACTTTGGTGACGTCGTCTACTAGTTCCACCGGATGCCCGGCTTCCTCAGGACGTTTGAAGCTATATATGTATGTGTGTCTTCAGTATGTATGTGTGTGTTTCAGTATGTATGTATGCATGTGTGTCTGTTAGTATGTATGTATGTGTTTCTGTCAGTATTTATCTATGTGTGCCAGTATATGTGTGTGTCTGTCAGTATGTGTGTGTTTCAGTATATATGTATGCATGTGTGTCTGTCAGTATGTATGTATGTATGTGTTTCTGTCAGTATGTATGTGTGACAGTATAAATGTATGTCAGTATGTATGTGTCAGGGTCTTACCTGGGTCAGGAGTCTGTAGCGCAGATATGTTGCTCACTCTTGCAAATAGCCACAGGCCAAGGTGGTCAGGTAAGAATTCACCTGGCCTGTGGGTCTGTGCACGGGGGCTGTGTAGAATGAAGTTCCAAGTCGCAGCACAGGCAAGAACTCAAACAGCAGGATAGTCAAGGGATAGCCGAGGTCAAAGGATGCCAGAGGACAGGAACAACGAAGAGTAGCCGAAGTCAAGGGATGCCAGAGGTCAGAGTAAACGATGTCAGAAGCCAGGGTCAATATGTAGCAGAGTAACAATAGACAGGAACACTGGTACAGAACACACACAACACGATCAAAGATTTGATCCAGATCACAGGGCAAGGCTGAGTTTATATACCCTGCTGATATCTGATCAGGATCAGGTGAAGCACGGCTATCGACGTGGGCAATCCCCCAGTGCTGCAGAGAAGCCAGGATCAATAGAACTGAAATAGCTGGTAAGAAACAAAGCTACTGTGGCTCAGAGGTAGGAAGCAGGACCAGAACTGCCAAGTACCCAGGTTTGAATCCTGATAGTATGTATGTCGGTATGTGTGTCTGTCAGTAAGTATGTATGTGGTATGTGTGTCAGTATGTATGTATGTCAGTGTAAGGTACGCTGGTATAGTGATTGAGCCTGAGTGATTATAGCTCGCAGTTCGGGTGCTGATTTGAATGATTCTCCATACGAATGGCAGTCTCCCAAGTGTATTCTCCCAGTAAAGTAGACAGGTTCCCAAACATCAGCCGAAACTAGATTAAGGGTGTAACAGGAATGATTTTAATGGTTGCCACACTGGCTTTTATGCAAGTCCCCATGCAAGGGTTACTCCCACATGGACCTTTGTTGGGGACTCCAATACAAAGTTATACACCAATCACAATAAGGTTACAAAGAATAACACTCCCACAGTAAACACATAATCGCTCCTCTCTGCCTGGGTCAGATATTGTAATAACTCAATTAACTCCAAGCAGAAAAAACAAATTTTTCCCCAAAATTTCAAAAGCACCCCAAAATACACAACATCTCCATATCCCCTGATAGCCCTGATCTGGGTGACCAACATATTCAAAAATCATCCAGATCAGTTCAGTGGTTCGGGAGTTTCATGGAGGTCTTAGTTTGACCGACCGCACATGAGGCTCTTGCCCAGAAACAGTTCCATGAGTTCAGGTTGTTCGGTCGGTCTATTTCGGAAAACGCATGTCAAAAAAGTTATAAATTGATTGCTTCTGTGGACATGTGGTTTTTATACAGGTAACGAGCTGAGATTAGGAGCACTCTCTTATAGAGAGTGCTCCTAATCTCAGCTCGTTACCTGTATAAAAAATACATGTCCACAGAAGCAATCAATCAGATTCCAAACTCTCCACCATGGCCAAGACTAAAGAGCTATACAAGGATGTCAGGGACAAGATTATAGACATACACAAGGCTGGAATGTGCTACAAGACCATTGCCAAGCAGCTTGGTGAGAACGTGACAACAATTGGTGGGATTAATCGCAAATGGAAGAAATGCAAAACAACTTTCAGTCTCCCTCGGTCTCTTGCTCCATGCAAGATCTCACCTCGTGGAGTTTAAATGATCATGAGAACGGTAAGGAATCAGTCCAGAACTACACGGGAGGATCTTGCTTTATGATCTCAAGGCAGCTGGGAAACAATTGGTACCACACTACGCCGTGAAGAACTGAAATCCTACAACACCCGCAAGGCCCCCCTGCTCAAGAAAGCACATGTGCAGGCCCATCTGAGGTTTCCCAATGAACATCTGAATGATTCAGAGGAAAACTAGGTTGTGGCGGAACCAACCTCGCCACTATGCACTGGAGAAGCCTGGTTGCCAGCCTCCTGTCATGTGACTATGGCCCCTGGGATGTATTGCCCTTTAAAGACATGATTTGGGCATAATGGATTTGTGTTGTGCTGCTGCTGGCCCTTTTAAGAACCATCTGGGGACATATTGTGGAGTTACTGGGTGGCCACCATTTCCTGTATCAGAAGCACATGGTGAGAACAATGGATGGCGGCCATTTTAACTCACAGACACTGTGTGGACTTTTCAACACGGTGCCATCTCGCCAGTATTTGTTGCACAGAGACATCGTGCGGTGGTTTTGGACTATACAGCAGGGGACACATTATACAGTGATTATTTTTTATTTAGCCTGTATATGTTCTGCAGAATCTGCATTAAACTGTATTTTCCAAAGTACTGAACGGATCTGGGTGAATTTTGGATATGTGGTTCACCCAGATCCCCCAGTTCCAAGGATATACTTTTATGGGGTTATTGCATGTTTTGGGGTCCCTGTGATGTGTTTTATGAAACTGTATTTCTCTGGCTGTGATAATTAGATTACCCATTGTGTTCAGTAATCATATCACAGCCAGAGGGGAGGATTTTGTGTGGGAGTGTCTGGGTGTATTGTATGGATTGATTGGTTGTTTTGTAACGCCCTGTGGGCTGTACTATGTTTGTGGATTGGGAATAAAAGAGACTGTATGTGACAGTACAGGGAGTTCCTGTTTTAACCCTCAAAGTGAAGTGTCGCCTCATTATTGGGGGAAGGATTTATTGTATGCTGTTCCAGTTTGACTGCTAGGAGAGTAAACCTATTCGTATGGTTCCTATTCAACTGTCTACAGCATTCATATGCTTGGGAGAATTTATTTGTTTCTCCAGTTCGGTGATTGTGGTGTCTGCCAGAGTGCTTGGAGTCCTCAGGAAGCGCTAGGAGCATCCTTCAACGGAGGTACCCAGTCGGGGTGCCAGGTGATCCGTTACATAGGTGAAAGTGTTGTGGTCAGATGAGACCAAAATCGAGCTCTTTGGCAGGACAACTGCACCACATCAAAGGGACATGGACGGGGCCATGTACCATCAAATCTTGGGTGAGAACCTCCTTCCCTCAGTCAGGGCATTGAAAATGGGTTGTGGGTGGGTATTCCAGCATTACAATGACCCAAAAAACACAGCCAAGGCAACAAATGAGTGGCTCAAGAAGAAGCACATTAAGGTCCTGGAATGGCCTAACCAGTCTCCAGACCATAATCCCATAGAAAATCTGTGGCGGGAGCTGAAGATTTGAGTTGTCAAACATCAGCCTCAAAACCTTAAAGACTTGGAGAGAATCTGTAAAGAGGAGTGGGACAAAATCCCTCCTGAGATGTGTGCAAACCTGGTGGCCAACTACAAGAAACGTTTGATCTCTGTGATTGCCAACAAGGGTTTTTCCACCAAGTACTAGGTCAAAGGGGTCACTCATTGACATGCAAATCAATTTATAACTTTGTTAACATCAGTTTTTCTGGATTTTTGTTATTCTGTCTCTCACTGTTAAAATACACCTACCATTAAAATTATGGACTGATCATTTCTTTGTCAGTAGGCAAATATTCAAAATCGGCAGGGGATCAAATACTTTTTTACCCTCTTACTTAGTCACCTGTCACACCACCCAGTGGCAAATTAGGACCCCGCAGTCACCGCGGCCACAATAGGCGTCCATGTATCTGACTGCAAGGGCCACAATAGGCGTCCATGTATCTGCCTGTGCTGACAGGCAGTCTCCCTGCAAGTGTAAAATAAAAATAAAAATTGTTAATGTTAATAAAAAATATAATTATATGTGTGTATGTATATATATATATATAGACATATATTATATCTATATAATATATGTCTATATATCTTATATAGATAATGTCATACTAAGTGTATTTTTATATTAATATATACATATATTAATATAAAAATACACTTATAATTAAATTACACACGTGTATATATATATATATATATATATATATATACAGTATATATATATATATATATATATATATATATATATATATATAATACACAAGATCCAGCGCACTCACCTATCCACTAAACAGCAACTTCAAAGTTGAAAGATTTTATTTGTTTTTTTTAAAAACACCTAATCTAGGCAAAAATAATGGGGGTTTAGTTACATTATATGATCATATATTGCATAAGCCTGCCACAACGTCAATGTACCCCATCTTTGGCAGGTCCTACACTAACAGCCTAATGTCTGCTCTTATGAGATTAACCTACTTGGGGAAAGAAATTCCATCTGGGGCTCTCTGCAGTACAAGGCCAAATAGGGCCCTGGGATGAGGCACCTGTGACAGGGAGGGGTGCAAAACCAAGGAGTTGGCTAGACTCCCAAATATATATATATATATAAAACAAGAGGGGGTTGGCTGCACTCACCTTAACATGCATAAATGGGGGTGCTGCTGGGGGCCAAATAATACAATACACAAGATCCAGCGCACTCACCTATCCACTAAACAGCAACTTCAAAGTTGAAAGATTTTATTTGTTTTTTTTAAAAACACCTAATCTAGGCAAAAATAATGGGGGTTTAGTTATATTATATGATCATACATAGCATAAGCCTGCCACAACGTCAATGTACCCCATTTTTAAAAAAAAACAAATAAAATCTTTCAACTTTGAAGTTGCTGTTTAGTGGATAGGTGAGTGCGCTGGATCTTGTGTATTGTATTATTTGGCCCCCAGCAGCACCCCCATTTATGCATGTTAAGGTGAGTGCAGCCAACCCCCTCTTGTTTTATATATTTGGGAGTCTAGCCAACTCCTTGGTTTTGCACCCCTCCCTGTCACAGGTGCCTCATCCCAGGGCCCTATTTAGCCTTGTACTGCAGAGAGCCCTAGATGGAATTTTTTTCCCCAAGTAGGTTAATCTCATAAGAGCAGACATTAGGCTGTTAGTGTAGGACCTGCCAAAGATGGGGTACATTGACGTTGTGGCAGGCTTATGCAATGTATGATCATATAATATAACTAAACCCCCATTATTTTTGCCTAGATTAGGTGTTTTAAAAAAAAACAAATAAAATCTTTCAACTTTGAAGTTGCTGTTTAGTGGATAGGTGAGTGCGCTGGATCTTGTGTATTGTATTATTTGGCCCCCAGCAGCACCCCCATTTATGCATGTTAAGGTGAGTGCAGCCAACCCCCTCTTGTTTTATATATATATATATATATATATTATAAAATACAAATAATAAGAAAATTTAAATAAATGTAAAAACGTAAAAATAATTAAAAATAATTTAAAAAAATTAGATATATATATGAAATTTTATTCTAACTGTATTTTGATATGAATATATATATATGTATTCATATAAAAATACACTTAGAATGAAATTATATATACATCTATATAAATATCTATATAAATAAATCAAAGTATTACAAAATATATATATATATATATATATATATATATATACATGTATATATATATATATATATTTGTGGTCGTGGCAATATAGCCGTATATGGAAACATAGCATATAATAACATATCAATTACTTGGAATTAGTCGGTTGTGGTGTGCCGAAACCGACAGAGGAGTAGGCCTGTAAAAGTGGGCCCACCTTAGAGGGTGTTTGTAATAGAGGGAGTGGTGGGTGGGTTGACTCGCCAGACCATTACGGTAATGTGGGAGAGGATTGGCAGCCTTTTTATAGGGAAACCAAGCCCCTCCCACAACTACAGGCCAAGTCTTTTAATTTGTGGTCGTGGCAATATAGCCGTATATGGAAACATAGCATATAATAACATATCAATTACTTGGAATTAGTCGGTTGTGGTGTGCCGAAACTGACAGAGGAGTAGGCCTGTAAAAGTGGGCAAAAATAAGTTATCATAAGACATAATACGTTGACCAAAATCTTTATTTAGATAAGTCACGGAAAGCTAGTCTTAATTCTTTAACAGGATTGGGTATGTAAAGAGTATAAGCGGAAGATTTCCAGCGTCCGATTGTTTTGATGATGTGCAGAGGAATGTGGTTAGTAGAAGCTGTAGATGCTGCTCCGATTCGAAAAGAATGACCCGAAAATTGACTAGGGTTCAAGCCGAGTCTAGTCAACAGCAGTCTTACATAGAGCATAAACTTTGCTGTAGTTAGAACGTTACCGTGCAGTTCTAGCAAAGGTTGTAATGGTTGTTTGTGGAGTGATAGTAGATAATTGTCAAAATTTTGTACAGGGCACCATTTGTTATGAGTAGGGTATAAGGGGATCGTAACGGTATGACCTATGGTGCTGGTTTTTGAGTGTTTTAGCATGAGTAGGTAATGGTCGTTCTGTTTCGCTAAGTCCATAGTTCTTAGGTAATCAGGGGACGTGATAGTCCTAGTTGTGAATTCGTTGGGACGGAGGAATCCATAAAAAGCAAGATATATGGCTGATTTTATTACCGTGTTTGTCCTGGGCTCAAAAGGAGAGGAATCTAACAAGTTGACTAGTGCATGAAATATATGGTTATCAATAGGTAGTCGTTTCCCGGGGATATGTGTATCTAATTTCTTAATGCCTCTAAGAACTGTCTTGATTTGATATGAGGACAGGAAACTCGTGGCGTTGGGTTGTTGAATAAGCATGTGGTGTTGAATTCCCGTAAGGTATAGTTTTATAGTGTTAAATGATAGTTTAAGGTTGATGTGGCAAAAAGAAGTGAACCCCAATATTGATTCTATCGTGAACATATCGTGAATGTGAAATTCAGTGATGAATTTTTTGAATATGTGAAAAGCTCTGTCGTAAGTGTTTCTAGTGTTTACAGAGAGTGCCAGGTGAGAAATGTGACGTGCGTGATTTAACAAAGCTTTTAATCCATTATCATGTCTGTGAAAAGTGGGACTGGAGTTGCCCGTCTGGAGGCGGTGGGTAGTGTCGTGAAGAATTCCTGAAAACGAAATCGAGACAAGTGATCAGCACTGATGTTTGTGCACCCTGGAACGTGAATACATGTTAGAAAGAATTGACAAGTGGCTGCTACCCATGTGAGTCGTCTCAATAGCCTCATAATTACCAGGGATGATGACCGGCCTTTATTGACAATATGGCAAGTAGCCATATTATCAGAATAGCACCATACAGTGTGACCGGACCACTGGCGGCCCCAGGTAACGGCCGCAGCCACGATGGGGTACAATTCGAATAAAGCTGAGGTCTCTGTGAATTTTGTGAGTGATTTGACCTCAGTTGGCCATGGCCCCACGAGCCATAGGTCACCCCATATGGCTGCAAACCCCGTGTTTGCTGCAGCGTCTGTCCATATTGTAGGTGAAGTGTCTGAGTGAGATGGTATAAACATGGCACGCCCATTCCAAGAAGTGAGGAAAATCCTCCACATGCTCAAATCGGATGTCGCATGTTTGTCTAGTGAAATGTAAGATGTGTCTGAGGTGAATTGTGGAAATAGTGATAGCAAATGTGAAATAAATGATCTCCCCTGGGGAATGATTCTCATTGCAAAATTAAGCGATCCCAGCAATGATTGTAGGTCTTTCTTAGTGCAACGACCTTGCTGTAGGTAGTGGTCAATACTTGCCAGGATACGCTCAATTTTCTCATGAGGGAGGCTAGCCTGCATGTGTACTGTGTCTAGTTGTATCCCTAAAAATTGCATCTGGGTGGCGGGCCCCAGGGTCTTGTGTGGGGAGACTGGAACAGAAAGTGACTCAAATAATGCCAACATGTGTTTTAAACTTGTGGGTGGACTTGTGTTGTTCTCAATTGTGAGGAAATCGTCTAAATAGTGAATCACAGAGGGACATTTGTAAACATTTAGCAACAACCAACATAAAGCCTCTGCAAATGTGTCGAAAATACGCGGGCTGCTCTTAGAGCCAAAAGTGAGACGAGTGAAGAAATAGTATAACCCTTCCCATTTAATGCCGTGAAGGTGCCAAAGTGTAGGGTGCATAGGCAGTAGTTTGAAGGCATTCACTACATCCGTTTTGCTTAACCATGCCCCTGTGCCAGCTTTAATGATAGCCCCGATGGCATGATCGATAGTGGCGTAATGTAGTGAAAACTCTTCAGATGGTATCAGTGAATTTAGGCTAGGGACCGTGGAGGAATGTGGTGCAGATAAATCAATGATCAGCCTGGGTTTAAGTGAGTTTTTCCCCGTGACAATCCCAATGGGATTGGTTCTCCAAGAATTGAAGGGTGGTGAAAGGAATGGACCCAGCAAAAACCTTGTTTCACCTCGGTTGTGATAAGTTTATGTACCAGCTGTGGGTCATCCCGTGTGGAAAGTAAGTTGTCACATTCCAGTGTGCCTGTAGGTAAATGTATCAACCCTGTGTGAAATCCCTCCGATAATCCTGTTATGAGATAGTCGCTGAAGTGTCGTGATGGGTGTAGACGTAGCAAATCGGTGAATAAGCTGAGGTTCACGCATGTGAGGTAGGGTTTTGGGAAAGCTTTATTTGGGCACATTGTCTTGGAATGAGCCCTGAAACAATGTGAACAAACATGCATTAGTCTACAGGAACTAAAACCACAATTGCCAGCATTAAAATTGTTACATACTTGGGATTTCCCTAAGAAGACAATATCTCTTCCTAGTTTGTCTTTCAAACCTTTGTTTGATCTTGGGGGGTTAGTTGCTGCTTGGTTTTGTTCTACCTCAGCTGTATTAGGGCAGAAATTTGTGCTGTGGATTGCTGATGAGCATACTGCACAAGTTGGGGGCCTGAGGCCTGCAAAGTGCCTACAGAATAGCTCAGTGTCCAACTTGCTGCCACTTTTGCAGAGAAGGAACGATGGTAATCGTAAAACGCTGTACCACCGTATTTGTGTCCCAGATCCACCAACTTGTGCATGTACGTATCCAGCTCGGTTCTTTTCCCTGGGTATACCGTGCAATATACATCCCTATAGATACCAAACCCTAATACAAATTCCGGGATGTTCAATTTTTTGTTTAGGCGAGGGTCTCTAGCTCTAAGGACTACGGAAACATCCCCACAAGCAAAGGTCCTGTTCTCAAGGACATCCTGGGAGGCAATGAGCAATGAAGCTAGGTTAATGTCCTTGCCTTCCAGAATGTCCTTTTTAAGGTGAGCTGGGACCATGTGTGAAGGATCAATAGATTCTATATCAGCCGTAGCTGCCAGGGTATTACCGGGTAAGGTATTAGCAAGAGGCTGAGTGGTGACCGTTGCATTTGTTGTGGACTGAGTAACACTACCGGCCTCCAATTTGTCCAGCCTGTCGCTGATTGTCCCTATGGATGCCATAAGGGACATCATCATAGCATGAAATGCTGGCATTTGCGATCCGCTAGGGCCTTCCCCTGCCTCGGAGTTGTCAGTGGTAGTGTATAATAACCTATACAACTCCACCTTCCTAGCTGTAGCCGGGAAAGGGATGCAGCGTCTTCTTAGTTCAGCTGTAAGACGTGGTATGGTCCACGATCTAAGGGATGCAGGGCTATTCACGTCTGTACCCGGAACAGGGGTGGCAGGCCTAGGTAGTGATAGTTCTTCAGGGATATCAGGCGTTAGTGACATAACTGAAATTATAAATATAAACAGTCAGTCGTATAAAATGTATTGTGGGTGGGTACTGGTGGGCTAGCTAAATACCAAGCAGTGAAACAATTAAACTTCTTTTGAGAGTGACAGATGAGACCCTGCTAGTTGCCAAGCGGCTTGAGAGG